CACCAAAAGAAAATATTTCGCGGCTCCAGTAAAGGAAAGAAAATCACATTCCAATTACTCCGCTTCGCTTTCCTTTCAAAATTTCCTCTGAAATTTCCTTTTTGGCTTCCTGGAATAGCTCCGTTGCACCGCAAAATTTGAAGAATCTTTCAAATTTACTTCCCTGCAGTTTTCTCCCCTCGCTCCAGTGAAGAAATGAAATTTGAATCACCTCCCAAGATAATCAGGACCTTCCGATTTTGCTTCCTGCCTCTGAAGGAATGTTCAGTCTCTTTCTCCAAATTCGCCTCCTCCAGCGAGAGAATATTCTTCGGATTCCTTTCCAACAGCAAACTACAAAGGAAATTCCCTCTCCTCTCAAGCTTTCGCAGATCTACCTCCTGCAAAAGGAATGAAATAAAACGGTCCAATTTCTTCCTTCCCTGAAATCGGAACCCAGCAAAAAAAAAAAAAAATTTCCCCCATAAGGAAAGAGCAATTATTTCCCCTGAAATCGGAACCCAGAACCTAGTAGGAAAGAGGAACTTTTGATTCTCTTCCAATTTCGAATTTTTCTCAGCTTCCTGGATTTCCTTCTACTCCGCTTCGCTTTCCTTTCAAAATTTCCTCTGAAATTTCCTTTTTGGCTTCCTGGAATAGCTCCGTTGCACCGCAAAATTTGAAGAATCTTTCAAATTTACTTCCCTGCAGTTTTCTCCCCTCGCTCCAGTGAAGAAATGAAATTTGAATCACCTCCCAAGATAATCAGGACCTTCCGATTTTGCTTCCTGCCTCTGAAGGAATGTTCAGTCTCTTTCTCCAAATTCGCCTCCTCCAGCGAGAGAATATTCTTCGGATTCCTTTCCAACAGCAAACTACAAAGGAAATTCCCTCTCCTCTCAAGCTTTCGCAGATCTACCTCCTGCAAAAGGAATGTCCTACAAAAGGAATGAAATAAAACGGTCCAATTTCTTCCTTCCCTGAAATCGGAACCCAGCAAGAAAAAAAAAATATTTCCCCAGAAGGAAAGAGCAATTATTTCCCCTGAAATCGGAACCCAAAACCCAGTAGGAAAGAGGAACTTTGATTCTCTTCCAATTTCGAATTTTCCTCAGCTTCGTGGATTTCCTTCCGATTTCTTTTCTCCGCCGCAAATCGCGATCTCCAATTCCCGAACCTGCTCTTTCTATAAAGAATTTCCTTTTTGGCAGCCCAAATTTGCACCTTCCTTTTCTGCTCGACGAGACCTTCGCTCCCCTGCGCGATCGCGCGATCTTGTCGGTTTTTCCTTCGCAGCGACGACAAAACTCGGAACCCAGCAGCACGATCTAGGAGCAGATCCGTCCGAGCCAGTCTCCCACAAAGCTTCTCCTTCGAACTCCGACTGCTTTGCCGCCGATCGTCCAAAATCCAACGTCATCGCTGCTTCTGAAATCCTCTCCGAACGGCTCCCTGTTGCACAGCCGTCCGAGCCGAAATCTAGACAGCCGCCAACCTCCGAAATCCTTCGCCGAATTTCCTCCGAACCGTCGAAAACCTTCCCTTTGAACTCCTCTGTGTCGCCCCAGTTTTCTTCCCTGCCCTCGAACCAGTCTCTGATACCACTTGTTGAGAAAATTAGGGCGAAGAAAAACAGTAATCGACACAAATCCAAAAGAACACAGAGATTTAACGAGGTTCGGCAAAGATGCCTACGTCCTCGGGAGCAGAGCGGCGAGTTCCTTTCAATATTCAGAAAAGGGTTACAGAATAGAGGGATACCTCCTGGGGTTA